GCAACAGTAGGAATATTTTTTAATATTTTAATGAAATATGTATATTGTGTGTTCTCCTATAACGCGATAGTTGCGCTCCTGAAAAACACCTAAATCGCGCTATCGAAATAACAGAGACTATGGTAAAATGAGGTTGAGGCAAACAGTCAGAAACCTCCTAAGTCAAGCTATACCTTAATTAATTTTTAAATTTTTAATTTTCGCCGCATTGCCTCTGATGGTGAGCAAAGATAATTTCTTATCTTTATTTCTTCAAGCTTCTCCTCAAAACTTTCTTATTGTACTCGCCACTTTGGTTTTGTTTAACCAGGACAGTTTAACATGTTTTAAGGGGTGTTAAATTAGCATTTTATTTGTATTTTTTATTAAGTTGACAAATGCGGAAGAATAACAATACAAACACCTGTAGGATAACACACGAGGAGAACTGAGGGTTACAGTATCCAGGTGTTTCAGGTGTGTGTGTTACATGCATTTGTAAACAGGCCACTTCAGCTGATGTTTCTCAGCTGATGTTTCTCAATTGCAGATAAACAAACGCAAACATTGCCATACTCTAACCATTACCTAATAAATCTTATGGAAGCAAATCCTCGTTTTTAAGACACGCTTTATAAGAGAACATACTGAACATACATATTGAAATGAATTCGCTATTTTTAAATTAGGTTGCAATAATAAAATGAACATTTCTGTATGTTGAAAACAACAGATATCGCTTTGCTATGTGTGATCAGGAGGTGCACCTCTTTTTAAAGGAAGAAGACAAATTAGCAAATTTTTATTCAGATTCTAAAATTGGCATTGCTGTAATGGACACAGATCCAAGCAATGTCTTCATTTCAAATTTGGTAGCACCTTTGTAGAATATGTTTAAAAAGCACCAGTTGCCTAAATGGAAAAATACATTCCCTCTAATTCCAGCTTAACTTCTAGTCAACAAAACAAAACAAATATCCATCAAAATAAAATTATGTTCACCTTAATTATTAAGAACCTTCTAGTGCAAAGTAATAGATTCAGACCTTATAAGAGTTATGTACCTCATCTTTGCACTAAAAATGCATTTAGCTGGACTCGTACACCTTAAAAGCAGATTATAGACTTTAAATCTCCTTCATCCCAAGATTATGGAAGTGTGAACATTAACACAGACAAAATTACACACCATACATTTCAATTAAATCATGAAGTTACATCCGGACTAAAATGAAATGGAAAAAAATGAAGGTGAAAGGGCCCAAATCAATAAGATAATATCAATAGCATGATAATATATATGCATTCTATTAAGGAATCTTCTGTTAATATCCAAGACAATTGCTTCATAAGACGTTAACAATGAATAATCATCCCTAATTTTGCTTAAACATTTTCCTGGCAGGAAGTTACAAAGAATTGAAAACTATTTTTAAAATGACATAAAAGACACTGGAACTAGGGCTTTCTAATCTTTATAAATTCTGGTCTGAAAGAGAATATTTTAATATTTAATATTTATATTTAATTATAGCAGCAGATGTCCAGTATTGCCTTGCTAGCTTTTCAAATCTTTTTGTCAGTCTGAGAACTGTTACGTAAAATCCTACACAGAAATGCTCACTTTTCTGTGCAGTTACATTAACATTTTACATACATTGGAATACCATAGTTACCATAATACCATAATAACAGTGGAACGTACAATAGCATAATATATTCTAATGTCATTATGTTACATACGTTTATGTACATTTTTCCTCTTGCTGCACTGGTAGGTTTTACAGAAATAACTATACTGGCATTGTTGTTTGCTGAACTGGTTTCGTAAGGTCAAAGCACCTACTAACGAAAAGGCACCAGGAGGTCAGGAACACGAACAAGTTTCGTTTTAATTGGTTCTCATTAGCGGTCTCTGAAAGTACACATTATTGGCAAAGCAACACCAACAAAATAAAAACAGTAACTGTGCATAACATCAGCCAGGAATTTTTCGTTTCTACCCATTCTTTGCGTAGATGAAAATATTAGCTGATGCGTTGGCACAATTCAAAACCAATAATGGCAAAGAACACATGGATCACTTTTTTTCTTCATTTCACAGTATGACGCAGACACTTAAGTTTTTAAATTAAAAACATAGCTAACCAGCAGTTTAATCAGTCACACACAAAATTACACATAGAGTGACATTAAAGCTAAAGTATTACTAAGTAACAGCACAAGGGCAAAGTAATGCAGTAAAAAGCTGTGCTTTTTTCTATTAAGAAATAATGAGGTTAACATGAATGTCGATGCACCTGGTACAAACAGTGATTTATTTCCGGAATAGTTAAGTGACCCCTTAAAAAGGCAGAATTTGTACGTGAATCTTTGATATGTAAAGCAGACCCTCTGGTTACTAAGATTATTGTCTCTCCTTGTGAAGCAAGAACACTGAAAATATAAATTATATATGTATGTATGTATAGTTTTGAAAATCCATTGTTAGAAAACTATTTTTAGTAGTAGAAAGAAAAGAAAATCACAGTGTATTAGCACCCGGAGGAATCATTTCATGACCTCTTAGTTTAGCACACTAATGCATAAATAACGGTTGGCCAATAACCATCTGACCATCAAGAAATCTGGCTAAGACACCTGAAAGTTTTTGATACAGTGTTACTCTCTTGAAGTGAATAACTTTAACCACTACAACAAGGGAATACGAGTGAGCAGGACCTCAGCAAATAACAATGAGCAAGTCTGCTTGTGAGCAGAAGTGGAAATCCTAAGAAAGGAGCTTAAAGAAGCTCCCCGGATTACAGTGAAGATAACGGGACGTGGCAGACAATACCAGGAGATGATACATCATCTTGTTACTGAACACTGTTGACCCGACAACGGTCAATCTGTATGTATGAATTCAAGCATGGTTCAACTCAATGGCACAAAATGGCAGTATTTTTTTTTAGTGCACTTCATACACGCAACAAAAGACCAAGGATTTCCACTTTCTGCTCTTCAGCATCACCGTGTAACATTTCCAAGTGAATAAATAACTAAAACCACAGACTCTCTGCACCAGAATAGACCTGAGCCCCACGCTTACGAGGAGGAAGGGGGAGCAGCAACCAGGGATGGAGTCGAGCTATGCCCACCGGCAAGAAGAGGAGCCTGCGAAGCTATAGCAGAGAAGCTGGCTGCCCCAATGCCACAAACTCTCACACAAGCCAAAAGAGGTCCAGAAACGGTGGACGATGCACAGGGAGTTATCCCTTCTGAACTGACAAAACCCAATGTGACAATCTAAAAGGCTGTCTTAAAACATGGACTAAGATGTCTCAATATCATAACCATTCTCTCCTACCCTGATGCTGACCTGGATCAAGCAAAAGAGCTTCTCATAAGCCTAATAGTTTTAAAGACCAACAAAGTGAAGCTATGTTTTACTGGTACACATGGATTCCTCTTTACAGGCTCTCTTCCAGATCTTTTCCACCCCTGGCAAGGACCCTTAACCCCAACGGTCTCACCTGCAGAACATCTGCTTGCAAAGATCTCGGCAGGCACGAAAAGGTCAAAGAAAGCAGTGTCTTCCTTTTAGCAGTGCACCTAGATATCTCCTGAAGTGTCGCATCCAATAGTCTATAGACACTGTTGCTTGCGGTGGCTGGATATTTTGCTACATGAAGTACACTGTACCAAGCACCATTACGAAAAACCGTTTCCGTAAGAACATGATGGGCAGGTCCCCACTTCCGGGCTAAAAACCATAATAAAAAAAAGGGGGTGTGAAATGCGCACTGATGATATTGTCTTCTGAGTAGGGAAAAAGGAAATCATTCTCCACAGCAGAACTGGGATCACAGGCCATTTACGTTGCCCAATGCGAGGAGAGTGTTTTGCAGAAAACGCACTGACATTTAATTCTACGAATGCATCAGCACAAAACATTTCTTCACTGAGGGCAACTGTAATAACTATGATTTTATTACTACAGTGATGTGGATAAAGATTAGAGTCTTACTTTCACAGGATGTCTTTGGCAACGCACAGATATACATATGTAGATAAAGGCCGTAATGGCGTTACCTCCGCTCTGAATTTTAAGTAACCTGTGATACTGAGTAGCACCATCAAACTTGACAGTTTGATCACAGGAAGCTAGGTGCACCAGAAACAGGGATTTATATAAATTACAGTAAAAGATGTGATTTGGCTTAGTTATGGTCTAGTTGGAGTCGATAACAGTAGGTCCTGTGTAATGAGGGAGAGGGTCGTCTTTCTTTTTTTGTAGTGGATTACAAAACGTTAAAATGTGTAAAAATTCTGGTATATTCAGGTAAAGATAGTTTCTAGTTTCGTTGGATTTGAACAAACAGGTAACGATGCTGACAAAGACCAAACGAAAATTTTCAGACATGGGGCAGGTGGGCTCGGAGCTCGTGTCCATGTCAGGATTTGTTTGGTGACATGCAATTCCAGCCTCGTGGGATTATTTGATTTATTTTTGCATCCGGGGGGCTACGCGGGTTGGGGAGGGGGGGAGGGGGATGCATTACGGAGTAAAATAAGACGACAAAAATCTCCAAACGTCAAAAGTTTTTAACTTCTTAAAGAAGCAGGGAATGACGGAGGGACAGTGTATACCTTACCCCCCCCCCCCTCCCCACACCACCCCCCACATACACACATACAAAACACCTTTGTCACCGTACAACCCCTGCGTGAGCAAAAGAGACTCAGCTATTTGCATGCCTATACACAAAAAAACAGATCCAGTGCTTTGGGAATGCAAGAAACTATAGGTAATTGGGTACGCGACTCGCCCACAACCCTCAGTATCATGTGTGCTTCAAGATTTTGTGCTCTTTGCACCACTAAATACAATTTCAACAACAGGAGAGGAATGCATCCATTAAACTCTCTAAGAAACAATGTTCTCTGTCATGTGATGTGGCCCTCTCCTTCAAAAAACATCACTCTTCTTTTTTAAAATAGTACTGTATTTGTTTGTAGTCCAATGCTACTCGCAAACACATAATCATTCGAGTTTTATTCCGATAATACGGTGATTATAATAATAAACTCCTTGATACCCCTTGATCCGTTCTCGGAAAATTTCTGTTAAAGAAATTAGCAGCAACCAAAATGAAATAAAAAACAAAATTGTGTAATAGAAACATTACCAAATAATCACTTGTGGAGTGTCTTCAACATCTTAAAAGTACAATCAATTGTATAATTTGTGTCCTAGTGGGTACAGAAAAGGGTTTAGGGTGTGTTCTTACTTGTGGCTGCCTTAATGCTACTCAAGGTATTACTGTAACATTATACTCACTGGATATTTCCAAGCAATACGTTTGACATGACTGTGTATCTTTACTGTATAGCTTTATGTGACCTCAAACATTTAACTTTAGGGCCAAATGGCTTTAAGAAAAAAATTGGTTTTTCAAAAAAAAAAAAAATCTGCAAAACTGTCTGGTAAGTAGATGAATGAACGAGATATACTCATTTCCATTTTCAGCTGAATTCATATTATGCTAAATTCAATCAGTACTAATTTAATAGAGTAATGTTAAGGCAGTTTTGCAATATTGTCGTAATGCCGTAAGCACCAAACCAGTGAACTTTGGTAGGTTGTCTTCTCTATATGGGTTGCATGAATCACTGAGACCAGCGATTTCAGAACAGCTGAACATCAGCAGCCCAGCAGGAACTGAGGACAGGGCAGAATGTGACGTTTATGCTCTACAAATGATTATGGACTAGTGGGCTTTATAAATCTTTGAATTAAGGCATCAGTTATTCATGTCCCTGGCAAAAAAGCATCCTACAGAAAATATTATGACCACATCACCAAAGTAACTATTTTAGGCCTAGCTGAAGCAACAGAACATTAAGCATGTGCCTCACATACACAAATATGAATTCCTGTTTCCAATATGAATCTGCTATTGATCGACGCCAAATCGCTTTTATATCAGGTTATCACTAATAAGTCGCAAAAAAAAATCCAAAAGTAAGGTAATGTCCAAGTAGAGCACCCACGATAAAATGAAGATGTCGGAAAGAACACGCTGGCCTGCCTCCATCATTCCCGTCAAACTCCATACCAGCCACCCGTTACACCCTATGACTCCGAGATCGCCAATTACATTTCAGAACGCAAAATTTCAATGACATTGTACATCCAAAACATACACCTTTACAGTTACCCCAAAAGAACAACACTGCCACTCTTTGCGACCAACATAAATCTGTTACACATATTTTTCATACAGAGGTTTTTTTTACCAATATAAAATATATGCTTTTTCAGCCCTCCCATGAGCCACGGAAACTATGCTTCTTCTGGGTGCTGTATTAAAAAACATGAATGTAAGGCCAGAGACGAATGGGGAGTTTAGAGAGGTGAGTAGACAAGCCTTCAGAGGGAAGACTCATACTGCAGAAGCTCATAGAGAAGGGGTCCATCTCTGTACCTGATCCCTACTGCTGTGGGGGTTATGAACTGCAGGATGTTGATAGTTCTCCTTAGGCGCCGGTCCACAAAATGGGCATCCCAGGCTGGGTAGCGTTTCCTTGGCATGTCGATCTTGATGAGCGGCCCCTCGGGACGATATGGACGGCCTGATGGCGTCGTGGGCACGGTGGACCTCACCTGGAACACAGGCAGGCAGGTATCTGCTGCCAAGTCCTCCTGTTGGGATTGGTCAGCGGCAGAGACCCGGGTCGGGGTAGCCTGGGAACCACGGGGCCCAGGGGTGGGGGCCATTGGCTCAGCCTCGGGGGGCAAGGGGAGCCCCCACAAGAGGTCGGCACAGCAGGAGCTGGCCAGAACCCTCACCCTGGGCCCCATTGGGTGCAGGAACCCATAGTAGAGAAGCATAAAAAGCACACCTGAGGCGAAGCACAGGTAGACACTGCACAGTGCTGGCACAGCATAGGAGTCGGTGGTGGGGTCTCTGTAGACGTACCACAGGCAGGTCAAGACTGTGTTCTCCAACAGCACCACTAAGTAGTAGGCCACCATACGGCATCGGGTCCTGCCTTCTTTGACGTTGAACCAGCAGAAGATGTAGACGATGCCCACCACCATGTTGAAGAGCACCTCCTCCCATTTGGACATGCAGAAGTCGGTGCCGCCGTGCACGATCCAGAAGGCCATGGCGCACCAGTGCACGACGACGAAGATGCCGAAGTAGATGTGGAAGATGGAGGCGAAGAGGGCAAAGGAGAGCACCCGCGAGGAGATGGTGAAGAGCCGCCAGAAGATGTGGATCAGGGCTCCCCGGTAGCTCATGCTCTTCTTGTCATCCCGGGAATCCCTCAGGAGCTTGTGATATGAGGCCAGCACCCAGGCCAGGGACAGCAGCGAGGCCACAGAGGAGACACCTGCACGGTGGTGACAACCAACAGAAGGCTGCTTTACACAAGTATGCAAGAAAACAGGTTTTCTGTTTCAATTCAGTACAAACTAATGTAAAAAAAAAATGATATTCTTAAGAAAAAAAAACACAATTCAGGTGTTGTTTTTACCAGTGCAGAAACAGATTTTAACAGAATACAGACTTCTTCAAACTGAAAAAGGCCATGCATTTACTGGTTTCTAACATCAACACTGATCTCATACTCAATACCACTACAGTCATAGACAGGGCTCTTCAAATCTGGCCCTCGATTCCAAATCCAGGCCTTGTTTTCAGTTCTCCCAGGTAGTTAGTTCAAGAATTACTGATTCTGATTGGCCAGAGGCTTCACACCTGGCTCCACAGGTAAAGGTAGAGTGGAAAATTGGCACTGCTCAGCTCTTGAGGACCGTGAGTTGAATAGCTCTGGTCATAGAGATGGGGTCAGAACATAGCTTACAGCGGTGTTTCCCAACCCAGTCCTCAGGGACCCCAAGACAGTCCATGTTTTTGCTCCCTCCCAATTCCCAACACACCCCTACCAGGTATCTGGGGTTCTTGATTGGCTGGCAGCTGGTGCAAAAACATGGACTGTCTTGGAGTCTTTGTGGACTGGGTTGGGAGACACTGGCTTACAGAACTCTACATACAGTATGTAATAACTGCAATATGTTCAGCTCAGAACAAAAGAAGCTCTTTAGACCATCATCTTCAAATCAGCCTCGAAAGCTGTACACTATTATAACTGAATGGAGAATGCATAACTTTAACCAGCCAAAAGAGACGCCCCCTGGAGGTCATTCCTTACACTGCAGCGTCTCTGCCCGGTTCCTTTGGATCATTATGCAGAGCTGTAGCACCAGTTGGGGGGCGCTCTCCAGGAAGGTCTCCAGGAGACGCAGCATGTTGACGTCCGCGTACTCGTACATCATCGCCCAGTAGAAACGCCGGTGGTGCTCCTTTTGCCGCCGGCTCTGAATGCCCAGGTACATGGTGCGGATATATCTGTCCAGAGATAAAGGCTTTTATTATATTAGGTATTTAAAAGGCTGTAGTCACTGGAGCAGTTTTTGGGATGACATGGTGACGTCTGTGACACCTGAAGTACATTTTGCCACAACCCCAAATCCACTACGCCAGACCTGATATACAATGTATTATCCTACCTTCATAGCCGTAGCTAAAAATATAATTCGAATCAATGAACCAGACCAGACACGTAAATTATGGGTTTGAAATCCACCGAAATGTGTTTGCTCCCGACCAGACGTGTAGTCAAGTAGTACAATAATTAGTTTAATCCCCATCGAAATTTGGCGAACCACCCTAAAGTCATTTCTGGCCACGGGCATGAGCTACACGTTTCTCTTCGCGACTGAATATGACGCGAGAGACCATTTTAACACGCCGACACAACAACGTGCCATGTACTAAAAGCAAATTACGGATTATTACCGCTAGATGGCGCCCGACACCGCGATTCTGGAAGACGGCAGCAAGCGATAGGATGGTATCTGAACTGCTGTCTGGTTAACATGTGGGTCTTTCAAAAAATATGATTATAGAACGTTATGAAATGATCTTCTACCAATTAATGGCAAAATAATAAGGACAGTTACAGAGGCAAATGTAAACACGTTTTTGCAGAGGACACATTCTGTTGTTGTGTGACAACAATGACAATTAATCACTTTCACTTAACAATGATGGTTAAAGAATATAATGTTAGTAAGTATAACCAAATTACGTGTATTTAAGAAATGGAAACAGTGAATAGGAAAGGATAGCTGGTTTGAGCTAAGGATGCTGAAATTTGGAACAACCAGTATACTTTACTGAAGTGCTTTTGTGTCATCGGTAGCTATCGATAGCTAACAATGGTAGTCTTTTTGGAGATATAATCACACAGTCACCTCTGTGCCATTGTGAGGTAATGAAGTACAATCAGTACCCATAATTTCACTGCTACTGAAGCAGCGCTTCCTTGACTATAACACTGAATATCATTAAAACAGGTTCGTCTTTGCCTCTGTCCAATCCATTTTTCGTACATATTTTGAACAATTTAAGACTTGTTTGATGTTACATCTAGTTCCAACCTCACTTACTTAACATGGACTATGAAAAATGACAGCATCGTAAAACGTGACCTCAGTATACCTACACAAACACCATTACTCGCAGAGACGATTTTAGAGACAGTGGGGCATAAAACTCCACGGGGCCCTCCAACGTACCTCACCCGACATGGTGAAATTTATGACCATTATTTTAGCATGAAGTCAAAATTAATAATATCAACAAAGATAATTTAATAAGCATAATTCCTTTATTTTCACTTTACTGAGAAAAACAGAATACACAAATAAAGCAGATTTGTCGTTGCATTGTGCTACGTAATCGGGCCAGCTCAGGGGGCCCAGGCAATTGCCTGCCTTGCCTGTCCTGTCCCTACGCCCCCCGCTTACTCGAAAATCTCTCTGGTCTCCGGCTTACAACACAACTGAGACGAACAATTTAATTTTCAAAGGCCGTCCTTAGAGGGCCACGTTGTAGTGAAGCCAGTGTGCTCCTTACATTAACTAGCTCTGTGATACACACTGGCAGACTGTCAATTGTGGATGGCTGGTTGCATTTGTGGTGGATCTTTCTGTAGCAACAACTATGCAGACAAGGGAGGGTAAAAGTGAGAATGACAGAGAGAAAGAGAGAGAGAGAGAGAGAGAGAGAGAGAGGACTTGAATGACAGTACTTCATTGACAGTGAGCTTACCCATTTGTTTACTTCCTATCTAATTCAGTTATCGCCATGATAGTTTAAGGGAGTTTAATGAAATGTTTTTCAACAATCCGCAGTGTTATTTTAAATGCAAATAGTATGATGATGTATATATGTGCACATATTTTTTGAAATTATATGAACTGTATATTAAGAACCTAAAGAAAAAAACCATTTGACACCTTTCTCTCAGTGTAGAATCACCAGATGAAAAAAAAATTAGTTTTTGTTTGATTATGTTTTTGAGAACAGCAGGAAAAATGAGGACAGATAGATGCTAAAGAATCTGTATGATTTCACTGGAGAAAAGCCCACGAGCCAAAGTTTGCGTTCAGCTTTTCATGACATACAGTACAAACTCAGTGAATAAGGCACACAGGTTTCAGTGAGCTAATTGGCCAACATATTTGCAAGGTGGAAATGTTCATAAAACAATTTGCTCATATGCTTTTTAAGACGCAGTACCACAGTCCATTAAACACAATTATGAGTTTTTGTGTAAAACAAAACCAAAATTTAGCATAACTACATACACTTCTTTGCTGTACACTGCAGTTTTCTTGGAGAGAAACCTTTTCCAGCTATTGTATATCTCATCAATTCACTGAGTTGAGACACACACACACACACACACACACACAATTTGGTCTTCCTACTGTATCTAAATGCAGACTGTCCATTCATTTCTATGGGAAAAACCCTAATCCCAATCACGACACCCTTAACCTCTACCCATCCCTAACCTTAACCATAAGTAACCAACCCAAATACAAGACTTTTGGCAAATACAAGACTCTTTTGATTGCATTCACAGATTTTTATAAAACTGAGGTTATCCAAATGGGGACCTCAAAATATGTCCCCAAAAGTAGGGAAATTTCAGGTTTTACTACACTTTGGGGACAATTTGGTCCTCAAATGTGATCTATGCAAACCCACACAGACACACACACACACACACACACACTCCAAGTTCAGACTGGTTTATTAAACATGTTTAGCTGTGCTTTGGGGTGCTTGTTACAAAAGACTGGGAACAGTCTTTGGCTTGGAGTGCACTGGAAGAATTATATGCCACATCACAGATGAGTGGTGAAGAGAAGTTGTTAAAATTACAAGACCCATAGGTCTGTAGGGTACTGGGATGGAAACACTGGGATCTATCCATCTTCATCTTATCCTGGTGGGTATACCACAAAGCAGGATTTCCCAGTTAGCTGGACAACTTAAGCCTATTGTGAAAATTGTCCAATAGGAAGAGAGGTAAGAGACATTCCTACTGGACAATCTTTACATTTCCTTTAAGTTACCTGGCAAATGAAGAACTCCCGCTTTGTGGAATACCTCCTTGGTGACACCAATGGGAAATATTTTGATTTAACTTTGACAGTATACCTCCAACATTTATGCTGAGAACTTCACCATAGAAACAACTCAGGTGGTCCTCCTACTCACCAGTCCAGAAGACAAGAAGCACTTGAATTTTTTTTTTCTTTTTCTGTTGTTTTTCTATTTCTTTCCCTTCTATGTTAATGGAAATGACCTTAATTGTTATGCTTGTTGTTGAACTTAACCAAGACTTTTGTCTCTTTTCAGTCTACCAGCAAATCTATCCCTGTTGTTTAAGCATGAGATTTAAGCACACAGTGACATACGAAACACACAAAAAACAAATCACATTCATTAAATGTCAAACGTTGTGCATTTTAAGTCCAGACATGCTTGCCTGTGCGGACAGCAGGCAGTCTCTTCTACTTAATGTTCAAAAACCGTGCTTCTCTGGACCTCATGATAGACTGTCAATTTCAATGTTTGACTGTCTGTGGCGCGAGCTGGACCTCGTGATTGTAACCAGAGCTTAACCTCAACCTCAGAATTACCAGAATGACAATGTCAATTTTATTGAAGATGCACTAAAGGTCGGGAATATTGTGCACCAACAAAATAGAAATGCACAACGTGCCATTGGCTATATATATAAATCATCCATGCATGATATAACTGATTAAAAATATCGCCATAGTGGGCTACCGATAACAAGCTTTGTACTTTTTTAGCAGCTGTGTAATTCCTTGTTTTGCAATCCCACTGGAATTCTGCAAAGCCTACAATCTTGCCCCAGCTATCAGTCCTTCCCATCTGAAAAATGCAAAAAGAAGAAATGTAACAGTTAGGGCTGATTTTCAGGGTTTGCTGTGGCTAAGATGTCAGTAGCTTTCATTGTGCTTAGGATGAATTATAATAAATATCCTCTCTGAGACCAGAACAGGGAGTGTGATCATATGACCTCACATGAGTCACAAGTGAGTCATGTATCTAAGGTGAGAGAACATTCTCTGGATGGAGCTGCATTGTGACAATCAATTACCATGCAATTAATCTCGGTGGGATCGTCTGGCTCTCGCCAGATCCCCATGACGTGCAGTTCCCTGCTCATCAAGAGCCAGAATATGTGATGGATACAAGGTTAAATAAAAATATTACCCAGAACAAAATATTTAGATGTTCATGGCTTTACTCTATACATATAAACCCTTTGTGTCTGGCCTTCCTGTTCCTGGCCTTTCACTGTCCTATGTTGTATGTACAGCAATGGTTCTTAATCCTGTTCCTGGCAGCCCCCCCCCAACACAATGTTTTCACTTTAATCCTTCCTTAATCAGGCTAAGATGGTCCTTCATAGCCAAATAACGAATCTGCCAGGTTGACAGCAGTGTGGGTTGGAATGAAAACATTATGGCGGGAGGGAAGGAACAGGATTGAGAACCACTGTCCTAGAGGAACGTGATTGTGGGCCATTGTACACCTGTATATAGATGATACGATAATACAGCCCACTTGACTTAACATTGCTATACTGTAACAATCATATTATAATTGAAGTATTCTGTTATGTGTTATATTGAATATAATGTATCTGTCAGAGAGTACTCAAATGGTTGGTTGAAACAAAACCTTGGTCTGGATTTGTACTCTCTGGAGCTGGTCCTGAGTCGTTCCTGAAGGCTTTGTTCCAAGCTTGAACTAACAACCAGATAATGTAGGACAAGAACAGATTGCCCTCTTTTAAAAGTACACTGCAAGTACAGTGCAAATATTTTTTATGGAACAGGCACTCATAAAAAAATCGATATTAGTTCAGCTTCTCAGACAAATGAGAGTAACAGATGGAGAGAGGAAGAGAGATAAAAATAGCCATGATGGACAGGAACAATGTTGGTAAACAA